TTCAGATCCATATTTTCAAGACAGCTAGACAAACTGACTTGAGAACCTCAAATTTAGAAAGACACCACCATATTAAACTATTTAGCCCTCATCCCAAATATGCTCATTTTCTCTTCTTCCTCATAATTAATGGCATCTCTGTCTACTCAGTTGTCTAATCTAGGATTCATGGACATTCTAGATTTCACATTTTCTCTCACAGCCCCACACCCCACCTTATACTTATCACTTAGTAAGGTCTATAAGCCCAACTATGAAACATTTCTCATATTCATTCATTCTCTCTTCCACTGACCTAATTCAGGTCTTTATTACTTTGATCAGAGCTATTAATCTCTACGTTGCACTACTTTAAAATCATTACATTAAAATATTTATGCCCTGGCTAGCGCCGGCCCATACACCAAAAGGCTGCAGGTTCAATCCCTGATCAGGGCGCATACAGGAGGCAACTAATTGATGTTTCTCTCTCACATCTCTCTCTCTCTTTCTCCCTCCCTCACCCCGCTCCTTTCTCTTTCTATAAAATCAATGAATATAGCCTCAGGTTAGGATTAAAGAAATCATTATTTGCTTGTGTGATGCTCCAACCACACCCTAAATTCCTCAGGAGTAGAGATTAGATCATATTTCTGTATTCCCAGATTTCTGTATGCACATCAATTGTAAAATAATGAATGCTCAATTAATGTTTCTTGAACTGAAATGAAAACACTAAATGCAAGATCCTTCCAAGTTTCTCAGTAAAGACAATAGTTCATTTTATATTATCAGTGGATAAGTGGCAGCACAGTCTTTTTAAATCACTATTGAAACTTACTAATTTAACCATTGTTATGACAGAGTCCTACCTAAGAAGGACCCAGAGCCAAGACGTGGTACTAGAAGCCCGGATATACTTGTTACTATATTGAACAAATATCATTCTTGAAGTACAACATATTCAGAATGAGAGTATTTTCTTCAAGATATCCTTAACTAAAAGCTAGAAGTGATTTTATGACTATAGAAACATGTTTTTAGAGTACGAACATCCTAAGATGAGTACTATCTGGGGAATGTAAGACATTCCAGCCACTTGTATAACTTGTTTAGAAAAAAGAAAGGTGCTCTGAATTTTGGCTAACTGCATTTTCAGTGAGTAATATTTTTTCCTTAAAAATAGTTAAATTAAGTAATTACACTAAAATCCAAAAGAATAGCTAATTCAATGTAACTATCCAATAATTTCTATGACAACTAGGTCAGAATACAATTATTTGTCAAGGAGAAGTTATTGCAGGTATATACCTTCTTGGTTTGCTATTATGGTAGATATTTCTATTCTTTAGTTTAGCATTTTTTCAAATTCCACAATATTTCCTTAATTTTCTCCGCTCTTAATTCAAAATTATTTGAGGATATAAAAATTTTTGCTCATCTGTTAACACTAGCTTAATAAATAGAGACACTTAGAACAACAAACAGGCCACCTAGACTCCCTGAAACAGATCATAAAGAATTATACCAATCAACAGACTGCTCCATTTTAAAAAAGAGAGATTTAATACTCTAATGTGGTTATATGCATCAGTGTGTAATGATCTTATAAAAATACAGGTCTTCATTAGGTTCAAATGAATGAATCTAGCTCTCTGCTCCCCACTTATCTACTGAGGAGTTCAAAAAAAGTGCTGTTCCTTAGCAAGCATTTCACATAATTAAGGAAGGAAAAGACAGTCACTTTTTCTTTTCTTATCTAAGGAATATCATTCCCTTTTTCCTTTCTTTAAACTCTACACTTAAATTTGAAATCATTTTTCTTTGTTATATGGACCTTTAATCATTTTTCTATGTTCCCCTTAATTACAAAAGGTCAAAATAAATGGCAAACAAAATGAAGCAACACTAGCTTCTTTCTTTTAAAAACTCTTTTTTTTAATTTTTATTTTTCTGGCTATCTTCTCACAGCTTAGTTCTTTTTTTAAATTTTTTTTATTGTTGTTCAATTACAGTTGTCCCCACCCCCCAAAAAAAAACTCAATTCTTAAAAGGTATTCTAGAACTTCATCTAACTTGTATAATTAGTTTTGAAACTGAGATCAGAAGCACATCAAAGTGGGGGTTTTTTTTGGTAAAAATAAAGACCTTTGTTCATAACTAACTTATATAGGCACTGAGTATATTCTCCCAGCTATACCATAAAAAACTTTACATTGCCTCATTTTATTACAGCTGCCTGGGATATTTTCTTTCTCCCTGTTTACCCTGTTCCCTAGGCATTGGACATTGTGCTAATGGGCATCAAGGGAACTCATCTGAAAACACAGCCTTTTTCTCACACACTAAGTGCTCTATTTCAAAGATCAATGCCAACTTAGCTTAGAGGCTGATTAAATCAAAAGTGGGTTCTAGTTTTCTTTTTTCCAGCACCTGGAATAAAATTTAAAGTAAACCATAGTCAGAAAATGGTAGTTTCCTGGCTCCATGAGCTTATGAATTAACTTCTCCATTTCCAAATGGTTCTTCATTATCCCCTTAATATTCTGCCACCTTCTCCTCCTCCCTCTCCCTTTCTCCTCCTCCCTCTCCTTTTCTCCTCTTTTCCTCACTCCCTCATCCCCTTCTTCATCCCTCTCTAACACACACAGACTTCTCTTCTCTTTCATCAGTGCCTGCTACTTCACTGTTTCTATGTTCTGCTGTCTCTTCTGCTTTCTTTTGCCCCTTTATTGACCATTAATTTCCCCTTGTTTCTTTATGCTTTGTTTTTTGATTCTGTCTCTAACTATACTTCTTGGCATCTATAAGGAAAAGCTTGTTATTATTTTTATTTTATTGATAGTATTGACAACACTAATCAATAAAAAGATTGTTTGTTTTTGTCTAGAAGATATGTGAAAAAATTCAACTGATATAACTAGAATCTATTGTCCCACTCTTCTGAGTTTACCTCACTATTACTAACTGCATAGAGAATACGTACTCTGTACTCCCAAAGTCACTGTGTTGATTTGGGGATAAGGGAGAAACAAATACCATCTCATATGCTTAAGGCTGCCAAATTCTGGCCTCCAGAAAATGAAGGGCCTATACACACGGCCACAAAAGCTTGTTGTTCACATTCTACCTAGGGCTCAGAAATCTTCAAATTTCGTGTTCTTACATTTGCTTTAAATTTTTTTTATTTTGAAATGAATTACACTGAATATCCATTCATTTTTAAAAATTTTATATCTTGAAGTAATTTCAGACTTACAGGGAAGTTACATGATTATAAAATGACTCTATTTTGCCTTTATCCATATTTCACAATAGTTAATATTTTAGTGCATTTTATCTCTTTCTCCTTCCAACCCTCCCTCCATGTACACACTATTACTGGTCTTTTCTGAACCATCTGATAGTAATCTGCAGATATGACACCCTGTTACCCCTAAATATTCCAGTTCATTTTCTTGAAAACAAGAACTCTGGTCAATGTAATCACTATGTAAACTTTCAAATAAGGAGAACGATTTAATAGAATACTACTATACATCCACAGACCTTATTCACATTTAGCCAACTGTGCCAACAATGTCACTTTTTCCAATCTGGTCCAGGATCCAACATAGAAACATAATACATTTAGCTGTCATATCTCTGGAGTCTCTTTTAATATGAAGTAGTTTCTCAATTTTCCTGATTTTCATGGCCTGGACAGTTCCAAAGAACACAAGCCTTTCATGCCATAAGATGGCCCTCAATTAGGTCTATACAATATTTCATTATGTAGAGACTCGCACCATGAATTCCTAAGAAATTATGCTGAGCTCTTGTTGAACAGCATTCAGGAGGAACATGATATTGACTGTGTCACACCTGGTCAAGTTGGTGTTTACTATAGAAATATAGTTTTCCTGTTTTGTAGTCAATCTAGTGTTGGGATGGGGTGGGATGGGGGAGAATATTCTTAGATTTTGCCAGTATTCTGTTCCTCCTAGAATCACCATGACTTTGACATCCTTTGAAGACTCCTGCCTAAATCAACCACCACTCTGATGGTTGCCAAATGGTGATTCTTCTATTTATATAATTCCTTCTGTTTTTATTAATAGGCATTCTACTAAGGAAAAGCATTCCCTTCTCCCCAAAGTATTTATCTATTCATTTATATTAGAATGAATATAATGGTTATCACTGATTACTACCATTACTTGTCTGCTAAACTTGTCCCAGATTTTGGCCAGTGGGAGCCACTCCAAGCTAGCTACTCTATCTACTTTGACAATGTCAACATTTCCCTACTTTTTAGCACAAGATGGTCCATGCTCATCATGCACATTCCCTATCCCAAGACTTGAGTAAGTCCTACTTCCAAGAAGTACTTTTAGGGAAGCATGGTATTTAGAAATCAATGTCTTAGCACTTGGTATGATCATTGCCACTGGAGCATCATAGCTTTTAAGCACTCCTAGGGAAAGGAGCTGGAAAATAGGCATGTGTATATATAAATATGTACTATTTTTATATATTATTATATCTATCTGTTTATATATATTGGAAAAAAATGAGTTTATATCAATTTCTCCAATTCCAGTCTAACACCTGAGGATTCTTTCTTTCATCTCCCCTTTCTACATTTATAAATTCCTTCTCCAGCAGTGAAAAATGCAGCTCTTATTCTCCTCAATATATTCACTCATTTGCTCAACTGATTTACTTATTTACTCAATGTAGCCGATCTCCCTACAACATCAGCCAATGATTGTTTCCCTACTGGCAGGCCAATGCTTCCATGCCTGCCAAAGAATAGAAGGAAAAGCAAGGGAAAGTTAAGAAAGAGGGAGAGAGAAAACTAGGAAAGGAGCAAGGAGTGATGGGAAGAGGAGAGGGAAGGGAAAAGAAAAGGGAAGGGAAAAGAAAGGGGAGGAGAGGGGAGGGGGGTGACCAGGAGGAGAGAGGGGAAGGGAGAGGTGGGGAGGGGATGCGGGAGGAGGGGAAGACAGAAGAGGTGAGGAGAGGAAGCACATACTTACTTTTAAAACACCTTCCACAGCCATCTTCCCTTCATGTCCTAGTAAAATAGTGTATGGGTAAAGCCAGTGGATTGCCTGTTTGACTGACATCATAGGAAAGGAATCCTATATACAAGCAAAAATAAATGTGCATGAGGAACATATATAAAATAAATCTGAAATTTTATCTGAAATGTATATATGACATTAAAATTGCCGTATAAACAATAACCAATATTTTCCAGAAGTCTATATAAGCAAATATTCATTATTTCTTCTCCTCCTGTTCCATATCCTTTCCCTTAGTAAGCTCTCCCACTCCCATCTTTAAGCTGATATCTATGTTGATGGCATCCATATTTATATCTCTAGTCCTGACCTCTTTCTTGAGCTCTAGACTTTAACTCTCAATTGTACATTAGATGTGACTACATGAATATTCCACGGACCCCATTTAGCATGTCTGAAACTACATGCCTCAACACATCTCCCTACATTACTTGTCCCAAACTACCTTCTTCAGTTAATATGCTGAGGGGTATGATAAGGGTGTTCATTTCATAAGAGAATGTCCTAACTCTGAGAAGTTGAATAATGAAGCATTTAAGAATGTTATCTATAGTGCACTTTCAAATAGTTCAGGAAAAAACAATGAAGAGCAAGCAAATGTGGCAATAAGTTAACAGTTGGTGATTCCATTTGAAAGAATTAGAGGTGTTCATTTTATTATTTTTGAGCTTGTTTTAGACTTAAAAATTGTCCAATAAAAAGTTCTGAGCAAAAACAAAAAGAACAAAAAGTAAAAGACATAATAAACAGAAGAAGAAAAAGGGTTCTAGATGTATAGAACAGTGTAAGCAATACCTGGGAAACCTAACTCATGGACTCTCATCAAATATAAAATAAACAGCAATAAAAGTTTAACAGTAAGTCTCATCTTGGTGGTGTTCCCACTACCTGGGATTATGCTTCTTGGTAGAGTCTCCCACTGACCATTTCAACAGTACTACTGTATATCTGGGCTCTCTCCTTCCCTCCTTCCTGCCAAAAGAGTATCTTTCTGCAACATATATCTGATTTCGACACACCTGACCTACTTAGTAATGTTTGACGGGCCACTTCCACATTATAAAACCCAGACTACTTCACTCACCATGTAAAATACTTCACACTATGGTTCTAACTTCTCTCTTCACCATAAAGGCTTGCTCTAGTGCTTACCTCCGAACAAACCAAGCCTCTTTGTGATTCAGCACCTTCGAAAGTACTCTTCCCTCTGTCTGGAGGGCCTTTCCACTTCTTCAGACATTACTGTCATGACTTTTGTCAGTGCTCCACCAAATCCCCTCAGATCTGTTTTTATCTTTTCTGTGCCTCCCAGCTTTTCCTTCCAACAGCCAGCTGCTACAGGTCCTCCCCAATCTCTTGGAAAAGACTGCCTTTGAGCTCCTAGAGCCAGGTTTGTTTGCTCACAGCTGGGAGAATAGCTAGTGCCGGGGACTTTGTGTAGACTAGGATGACCATTAACCAATAACTGATGGTGCTAGTGTGGGAAAGCCCCAGCTTCTCCACATCAGGCTGGAGCAAATCTAAGGCACATCTTACACTACAACATAACTCTGCCTGATGAGGCTAAAAGTCTTTTCCTCTATGGAACTTGTACCTGAGTTGTATATCTACTTTCACCCCTCTAAGACTGTAAGCTCTTTAAGGGCTCAGAATGCACCATCGGTCTCTGTAGTTTGCTGCACCATACAACAAATTAATCTGGGTTCATGTAATATTTATAAAAGAATATGACAAGGCAAACTGAAGTGATTAATATCCAAGAATGAACTTTTAAATTTTCTTTACCACATTTGGGTATATCAGTCATTAATTTCCTTTATACGTACCAGGATTTGAACTGCAGATGGTAAACTATCTAAAGGAAAATCTGGAAGTCCAAGAGTAGAAGATTCTTGGGAACAGAGAGTGGTGGCAAAGGACAAAAGCTGAGAAACTCTAGGGTAAAAAGATAAATGATATCAAATGTTATTCTAAAATTTTAATATAAGATGTACAAATCCATTTAATCTAAAAAGATGACACTTACTATTAAATTCTTAAGGAACAACAGCTCCACATTACTATATTCCATTTAAATCTCAGAAGCTGATTAGGTAACAAATATATTTCTGAAAGCCATCATAACATGTGAAGTTTTTCACAACCTGTCAGCCTTTCCACCCACCTTTCTCAATCTCATCCTAATCTCTGACCACCAGAAGCTTTCTATAGCCTCAAAAATGAGATATACACTCTCATATCCCAAGCTTTAGAAAAAAATTCTTAGAATTCCTTAATTCCATTCTCTATCTGGCAAAAGAGTATTCATTCTTTAGAATCTATCTCATATGACAATACCTTTGTGAAACCCTTGTAAACTCTCAACCACAAACCAAAATACATTGAAATCATTAGCTTATATACTGTTTAACTAAAGTATTCAAATACTTTTAAATTCTACTCAATCTTGAGTTTCTTTCCATCAAAAGTCATGTCTTTACCATGATTTTTACCTTTATCATCCTCTCTATCATTTTTATAATCAGAACTAACCACTGCTACTAAAATTTCTTCAAAGAATAGCTGTTGAATGAATGAATGAATCAATCAATCAATCAATTAATCAATGGGCAAAACAAATCCAATGTTAAGTGTCCAGATATTTATAAAAAATAGAGAGAGAGACTTCAAGATGGCAGAGTAGTGAATGGAAGTCACACTGACCTCCTTCCAGGACCAACCTGGAATTACAACTAAACTGCGGAGAAACCACCTGAAAAGCAACTGAACAATAGCAAGAAAGGAGCCTTAAAACTTCAGACATACAGAGGGATCAGCTTTAGCACAACCTAACTGGTAAGAAGTTCAGTAGAGACTTGAGAAGGCAGACAGGGCATCCACAGGCAGCAGTGTCAGAGGGATATTTAAACGGCCAATTGGACGCCCCTGAGAAGAGTTAGGTCTGAACCATAGGCGGGGATTTACAGCCTACAGCACCAGAGACAAAAAGTACATAGCTAACAGCCAGCTGTGAAAAGTAGCAGGGTTGCTCTTTGCCAGAGACAGGTGGCTGGAGACGCAAAGAGCCTTTTAAAGGGCCAGGACATAAATTTGTATTTGCAGCCACTTACCCTGGGCTACAGAAAAACTGGGGACAGAGTAGGTTGGACCCACCTGAGGAAAGACTGCAGAAATAGGCTTTGGGGAGAGAACTAAGAGAGTTGCCAGCAGGATCCTGGTGCTGACTTCTCCCCCATACAGCAGACCACGACCCTGAGCAGCAGCAGCATGAAAGGACACAATAACCCCACCCCCAGGAGGCACTATGCCCCACCCAGGATGATTAAGTCTGCCTGCTCAGAGCAGAGCGCCTAGATTATCAACTAGAGCAGATAGCCACAGAGTAGATTTGTGGATGTCTTGAAAAGACTGCCTAAGGCCAGATGGGGTCAACAGCTGACATGATCAGAGGAAGATCCAGAAAGAAAAAACAGCGGTCTCCTACCATAGAAGTTCACACCACAAAGTCAGGAAGTCAAGAAGCAGAAGCAAAAAAGAAGAGTCTCAAAACTAATGGGAAAACAAAGAAACACCCCCAAATCAAAGGGAAAGGAGGAATCCCCACAAAGAGAACTAAATGAAATAGAGACAAGGAAACTATCAGATGTTGAGTTCAAAACAGTGGTTCTAAGGAAACTCAGTGAACTCAGTGACCTCAATGACAATTACCAAAAACTACAGGAAAACTATGAGGAACTTACTGCAAACTATATCAGCATGAAAAATGGCACAGAAACTGTCAATAAGAGGCAAGAGGAAATGAAGAATAGAATTTCTGAATTGAAGAACAGAGTAGAAGGAATCAAAAGCAGGCTGGATGAAGCAGAGGATCGAATCAGTGAACTGGAGGAAAAGGTAGAAAAAAGCTCCCAAAAAGAGCAAGAAAATGAAAAAAGACTCAAAAAGAATGAAGGGGCATTGAGTGTAATGTAGGACAACCTGGAATTTAGTAATATCCAAATAATAGGGAAACCAGAAGAAGAGGAGGAGAAAGGATAGATAACCTGTTTGAAAAAGTAATGATGGAAAACTTCCCTAATCGGAGGAGAGAAAAAGTCACACAAGTCCAGAAAGCACAGAGGGTCCCATTCAAGAGGAACCAAATGAGTCCTACTCCAAACACATCATCATTTAACTGGCAAATATCAAAGACAAACAGAGAATCCTAAAAACAGCAGGGGAGAAAGAGGTAGTAACATACATGGGGGCCCTAATATGGCTAGCAGCTGACTTCTCCACAGAAACACTACAAGCCAGAAGAGAATGGTAAGAAATATTCCAAGTAATGAAAAGCAAAGGCCTGCAACCAAGACTGCTCTCCCCAGCAAACCTCTCAATTAAAATGGAAGGTGAAATAAGGAGTTTCCCAGACAAAAGAAGGAAAATAGAATACACCTCCACCAAACCAACATTGCAAGATATGCTAAACAGACTGCTTTAAGAAGACAAGGAAAGAGTGAGAAAGAGAGGAATACAGGTAAAAAAAGAAAAAAATGAATAAGTACCTATAATAATAACTTTGAATGTCAATGGATTAAATAGCCCAATCAAAAGACATAGGATATCTGAATGGATAAGAAAATATAACCTACACATATGCTATCTACAAGAGACCAACCTCAGAACAAAGGACCTATGCAGAATGAAAGTAAAGGCATGGAAAAAAATATTCTAAGCAAAGAACAGGAGAAAAAAAAAGAGAGATCACAATACTTCTTTCAGACAAAATAGATTTCAAAACAGAGACCATAAAAAGACACCCAGAAAGACACTTCATAATACTCAAAGGAAGAATCCATCAAGAAGACATTAACATTATAAACCTATATGCACCCAACATAGGAGCACCCAAATATATAAGGAAAATCTTGGAGGACTTTAAGAAAGGTATAGACAGCAACATACTGATAGTACGGGATTTTACATCCCATTTTCAACAATGCATAGATCTTCCAAGCAAAACATCAACAAGGATAGTGTGGAATTGAACAACGCATTAGACTGACATATATAGAACCCTTCATACCAAAGAAACAAAATATATATTCTTTTCAAATGTACATGGAATATTTTCAAATATAGACCACATGATAGGATACAGAACAAGCCTCAACAAATTTAGGAAAATTGAAATAATAACAAGCATTTTCTCAGGCCACAAAGGCCTTGGAACTAGAAACCAACCTCAAGGAAAAAACTCAAAAACATTCAAACTCATGGAGACAGAATAGCATGCTATTAAACAATGAATGAGTCAATAATGAGATCAAAGAAGAAATCAAAAAGGTTCTGGAAACAAATGAAAATGAACATACAAAAGTCAAAAACGTTTGGGACACAGCAAAGGCAATCCTGAAAGGGGAGTTCACAGCAACACAGGCATACCTCAAAAAGACAGAAGCATCTCAAATGAACGAGCTAATCTTACAGCTTTAAGAACTGGAGAAACAAGAAAGGCCCAGGCCCGTACAAGGAAGGAAATAATCAAGATCAGAGCAGAACTGAATGACATAGAGACTAAAAGAACAATTCAAAGGACCAACCAATCCAGGAGGTGATTCTTTGAAAAGATAAAAAAAAATTCACAAGCCTTTAAGCAGACTTTTCAAGGAAAAAAATGAGAGGACCCTAATAAATAATATCAGAACTGAAAGAGGAGAAATTACAACTGATACCACAAAAATAAAAGGGATTGTAATAAATTACTATGAACACTTATATTCCAAGAAATTTGAAAACATCGATGAAATGGACACATTTCTAGAAAAGTATAACCTTCCAACACTGAATGAAGAAGCAGAAAGCCTGATCAGACGGATAACAGCTGGTGAAATTGAAGCAGTAATCAAAAAACTCCTGGCACACAAAAGCCCTGAACCAGACGGTTTCACAGGAGAATTTTACAAAACATTTAAAGTAGAACTAACCCCTGTACTTCTCAGACTACTTCAAAACATTCAAGAAGAGGGAAGACACAGACTCTTTTCATGAAGGCAGCATCATCCCAGTCCCAAAACCAGATAAAGACACAAGAAAGAAAGAAAACTACAGGCCAATATCGCTGATGAACATAGACGCTAAAATCCTCAACAAAATATTGTCAAACTCCATCCAGCAATACATTAGAAAGATCACCATATTCAAGTGGGATTCATCCCAAGGATGCAAGGATGGTTCAATATTTGCAAATCAATAAACATAATACATCACATAAACAAAAGGAGAGACAAAAATCACATGATCATATCAATAGATGCAGAAAAAGCATTTGATAAGGTACAGTATCCATTTATGATAAAAACAGTCAGCGACATGGGAGTAAAGGGGGCATTCCTCAACATAATAAAGGCCATACATGAAAAACGCAGAGCCAACATCATACGCAATGGGCAAGAACTAAAAGCTTTGCCACTATAATCAGGAATAAGACAAGATTGTCTGCTTTCACCAGTTCTATTCTACATAGTATTGGAAGTCCTAACCACAGTGGTCAGACAAGAAAAAGAAATGAAATGCATCCAAATTGGAAAGGAGGAAGTAGAACTATCATTGTTTGCAGATGGCATGATAGTGTAGTTAGAAAACCCCATCAACGCCACCAAAAGAACTACTCAACCTAATAAGTAAATTTGGCAAAACAGCAGGATAAAAGTCAATAGTCAGAAACGGAAGGCATTTTTGTACACCAACAATAAAATATCAGAAGCAGAAATCAGGAAAAAAATCCCATTTGCTATAGCAACAAGAAAAATAAAGTACCTAGGAATAACCATAGCCAAGGAGGTAAAAGATCTGTACTCAGAATACTACACAACACTGAATAAAGAAATTAAGGAAGACACAAATAAATGGAAGCATATACCATGTTCATGGATTGGAAAAATTAACATCATCAAAATGTCCATACTATCCAAAGCAATTTATAGATTCAACAGAATCCCTATTAAAATACCAGTAACGTATTTCACAGACATAGAACAAACATTTCAAAAATTTATATGGAACTATTAATGGCCCTGAATAGTTGCAGCAATATTGAAAAAGAAGAACAAAGTGGGACAGATCACAATATCTGACATCAAACTATATTACAAGGCCACTGTAATCAAAACAGTCTGGTACTGGCAGAAGAACAGACTAATCAATGGAACAGAATAGAGAGCCCAGGAATAACCCACATCTCTATGGTCAACTAATATTCAACAAAGGGGGCAGAAGAATAAAATGGGGTAAAAATAGCCTCTTCAACAAATGGTGTTGGGAGAGCTGGACAGCTACATGCAAAAAATTGAAATTCGACCACCAACCTGCACCATACCCAAAAATAAACTCAAAATGAATAAAAGACTTAAATATAAATCATGCCACATAAAAGCCCTAGAGGAGAACATAAGCAGGAAACTCTCAGCAGCAATATTTTCACCAATATGTCCCCTAGAGCAAGGGACATAAAGCAAAGAACAAACAAATGGGACTTCAGCAAAATAAGAAGCTTCTGCATGGCTAAAGAAAACATCAACAAAATGAAAATGTAACCAACCATATGGGACAATATCATTGCCAATGATACCTCAGACAGGGGTGTGATCTCCAAAATATATAAAGAACTCACATGACTCCACTCCAAGAAGACAAACAATCCAATTCAAAAATGGGCAAAAGATATGAACAGACACTTCTCCAAGGAGGACATACACAGGGACCAGAGACATATGAAAGGATGCTCAGCATCACTATCCATCAGAGAAATGTAAATTAATGACAATGAGATACCACTTCACACTGGTCAGAATGGCCAGCATAAACAAATCAACAAACAAGTGCTGGCGAAGTTGTGGAGAAAAGGGAACCCTAGAGCACTGTTGGTAGGAACGCAGACTGGTGCAGCCACTGTGGAAACCTGTTTGGAATTTCCTCAAAAAGCTAAAAATGGAACTGCCTTTTGACTCAGTGATTCCACTGCCGGGATTATACCCTACGAATCCCAAAACACCAATTCAAAAGAATCTATGCACTCCAATGTTCATAGCAGCACAATTTACAATAGTCAAATGCTGGAAGCAACCTAAGGGTCCATCAGTAAATGAGTGGATCAAAAAACTATGGTACATTTACACAGTGGAATCCTACACAGCAGAAAGAAAGAGCTACTACCCTTCGCAACAGCATGGATGGAACTGAAGAGCATTATGCTAAGTGAAATAAGCCAGGGAGTCCAAGACAAATACCATATGATCTCATCTGTAAGTGGAACTTAATCAGGAAAACAAATAAGCAAGAAAAATATAACCAGCAACATTGAAAGAAAAAAGAAACTGACCATAACAGGAGGAGAGGAGGGAGCGGGTACAGGGGAAAAGAAAGGGAAGGGTCAAATCAAGGAACATGTATAAAGGACCCTTGGACAAAGCCAAAGTGGGGAAGGATTGAGGGAGGGAGGTGAAGGTGGGTGGGGCAGGGGAAAGTGGTGGCAGGAAAATGGAGACAAATATATTTAAACAATAAAAAGAAATTTAAAAAAAAGAAAGAAAAATAAAAATTAAAGGAAAAAAATAAAAGATATAAATGTATAGCTGACTTACTTTTCAGCTGAAACATTGGCTCCAACAGAATATAACAGTTTAAGTTGGTCCTAGAATAACATAGAAACATCAAAACAATTAATAAGGAATAGAACAGATTAAATGCAAATGTTTTATAGACAATCCAATCTTTTAATTAAAGAGACACTATTAAAAGCAAAAAATAATTTATTGATGCATGTCATTCTCTTTTAAAAGTAGCCATTTTTAAATCTGTTAGAAAAATTAAGCATAGTAATTTTTCTTCCTCATTTCCAGAGATTTTCTTCACCTTATATCCTTTTGTTCTTACCATTAACTACTGAGGACATCTACCAACATAGTAACATTTTTATAGTACCTGAATTTATTATGAATAGAAGAACTGCTTAAAAACCAATTATTCTTATTCATACTTACCTTGAAGGGTAGATAATAAATATCTCTGGCTTGAAATCGAGAACGGAGAGGGGGGTCTAATGGATTACCAGAGTACCTAGGCACTGGCAAGCCCAAGGCAATCACTCGGAAATTTTCACTGACTCGAACAATCTTCCAAGCATCCAGCTCTGTTTTGGTATGATCCTTAAAGAGTATGAGATCAAAAATTACAGCATAACTAATATAGATTACAACTGTAAGAGCTTCCAGGCTATGAAACGTAGGCCCTGCCTGCCGAGTAAACTATTTTAGAACACTCTCAAAGCATCAAAGAAGAAAACAAAGTTAAATAAGGATCCAGATGCCAGGGAAGGCTCATAATATGAAGACTGGTGTTAAAAGCAGCAGCAATGAACATATCAAGGGGCAAAGGAGATGTGGGTCAGATCCCTAAGTCCTACTCAGTAACACAGAGCAACAGAAGGAAAATAGACTGGTTTACACCAGAGGATATAAAAAGGTAGTCCCAGAGGGCAGACCACTGGCAGGGCAGAGCAGAGCCTTCCCATGGATCTTAAATATATACCTATGTCTGTGAATATTTCTACCAAGACATATTAATGGTAACAACTAACATGTATTGAAAACTTAACTACATGGTAAGCACATTCCATGAATTTTCCTCATTTAACTTTCACCAGAATCTAAATAGACACCTAATTCCTTTTCATGAATGAACAAACTGATGTTCAGAGGAGTTACACAACTTGCCCTTGGTACTGCACCTAGCACATGGTGGTGTTGAGAGACTGGAAACAGTACACATTCTAGAGTGATAAATCCTGGCTCTAGTGCTTGGTGCAAACTCCAGCTAAGTGACCAAGCGCATGCTGTTATACCCTCTAAGCCTCAGCTTTCTCACCTACAAAGTGGGAATAATATCATCAACATTATTATGGCTGTTATGAAAATTAAACGTGATCATGTGTGTGAAAGCAACTGGTCCATTGCAGGCACTTACTTAACACCATTCCTTCCATCTCTGCCAAACCTTATCATGGCTCTTCACTGTCCTCAGCTGTAGAATCCACGGAGCTAAGAAAGTTGATGTGAATGTGCATGTGCACATTCTGAGAGACAGGGCCTCAGCTTTCAGCAGATGTTTAGAGAATCTGGCCCATATGACAGCATACAAACTCTTCACATGACACGCAAGGCCTTTCCGGGCCAGATTTATGTCTGATTCTGCCACTCTCTGCCACCACTGCACACCCACCCCCTCAGTCCACCTTCCCTGGCCCTGTGCTCGTGCTCATCTCCCAACTGTGGCTCTCCTGACACAGAATGCTGCTTCACTAACACTTGTTAGTGAACACCCTTTCCACTTGCATAGCCTAACCACAAGTATCATTCAAAGTTTAACACAACCAGTATCGTCTTTAAAATGAGCCCCTTTCTAGCTCCTCCCTCCATTAGAACCACTTTTGTATCTTGCACTATGTCCTATGCAAGTGTCTATCCTCATACATTTGTGCATTGACGTCTGTACACGACTGTCTCTTGCTGGATCCAAGATTCTGAAAGGACTTATTATCTCTAGCACATAATGGGACCAATGTCTGTTGACTGACTACTTGAAATAATTTAAAAATGTAGTGAACAACTATTTCTAGCATTATAAAACCATGATTCTACATTTAATTAATAAGTCTAACACTGACACTGTGTTGTATGCACTAGAAAACAGAAATTGAGTATAACTGTCTGAGAAACCAGGAATATAATGTTTAGAAAGCTGAATATTTCTATTTTCCACTTACCTAAAAATTATAATCAGATATAAATAAAATTTATATAAACTGATTTTATGTTTCCTTACTAATATTCTACTATAATCACCTCATGAAACCATTAATATTTTGAGATATTCAAATATCCTATACTGAATCTAGCAAGAAATAAGTGGAACATCAGTTATGGTATTGAACTCCTTTTATCATAGAAATTGTCTTAAAGTAGTGGTATTTTCTGAAGGGACCTTGCCTATATTCTGTGAGGTTCTCATGAGACAGAGTCAATGAATACAGAAGTTACATTCTCCAATAAAAATTATGTATTGATACCAATATTTACATTGGAAAAAATGCAGTACATCCTTCTTATTTGATAATAATAAACACTCCTTATATACTAAAACCTTTTTGACCCCATGTCCCAAATTCCTATCCAAAGTAATGTGTTCAATAACTTTGCACAGAAATCTATGACATGAATAAAGAATAGATCAAAGCTCTTGTTATGAAGTAACTCGTATACTTAAAAAAAGATTCTATAATCCAAATATTCTTTTTCAAATCATTTACTAAACGTGATAAATAAGGGATCCAGGAAGATGGCAGAGGAGTGAATGGGAGTCACGCTGACCTCCTCCCAAGACCAAACTGGAAGTGAGACTAAATAGTGGAGTAATCACCTGGAAAACAATGGAACGATAGTGGGAGAAGAGCCTTGGAGCCGCGGACAGTGGATTCGACTCTCACACATCCCAACAGTGAGAAGTGCGGTGGAGGCTCGAGAGGGTGGGCTGGGTGCCCACGGGCACTAGCACCAGAGGGACATTGAAACGGCCAGTCAGCTTCCCCCGAGAAGAACGGGGTCTGAATCATAAACAGGGACCCCTAAACTACAGCAGCTAAAGCCAAGAAAATACAGACAAAACGCAACCCCGAAAAGCTTAGGGGCGCTCTCTGCCAGAGACAGGTGGCTGGGGATGCAAAGAGGCATTTAAAGGGCCAACGCAAAAATTGCAATGGCAGCCATCCTCCTTGATCTCTAGGTAGAGGTGGCAGCAGGGTGGGCTGGTGCCTGGGAAAAGACTGGTGAGGAAAACTTTGTGAAGAGAACTGAGACGGCGGCCGGTGGAGCCCGGTGATAATGCACCTCCCACTCTGCAGCTACCATCTCGCTCAGGCATAAGGGAATCAGTTAACCTGCCTTTTGTGCGCTCTGCACACAGCTTGTGCATGTGAGCTGGGGGGCTAAGTGCAGACTGGCTGGGAGAGCCTTGAGGGGAGACTGGAGATGGAGGCATTGGGGAAAGAATGGGAGGAGGAACCGGGGAGTCCCGAATCCCTCCCCGTTCAGTAGTCTCCATTGTGGGCTGGAAAGGCCTGTCCCCAAAGAGGCAGAAGCGGGGCGCGCAGGAACCAGACTGTCCGCGATTTAAATGCAGTCCGCACAGGGGGTGGATCCTTGGCAGAAGAGGTCACAGAACTGCCCAGAGACCCCTGAGGAGAGACTGGAAACGGAGGCGTTGGGAAAAGAACAGGAGGAGGAACCAAGTCCAGACTTCTTCTCCTTGCCACAGTCTCCATTGCACGGGAAGAGGCCACACCCCCAAAGAGCCAAAAGCTGAAAAGCACACATAGACACCCCAAAACCACCCAGTACAGGCGCGCACGCTTGCGCCGAGTGACCCGCAAGGGTTGGCAAGCATGTGTGTGACCCGCGGGTGCTGGTGAACACTTGCGCCGGCTGGCAAGGCCTCCCACAGATTGGCACCGGTATGGCCTGCGAGGGAGTGCACAGAGCGCCAAGGGCGGGCGTATACTGACCCGCCTGGCCCGCGATTGCGGAGCTGCTCACAAAATTAGTAGATTCCAGGACAAAGGGGTCACAGAGCTGCCCAGAGTCCCTGGAGGAGAGACCGGAGACAGGATTAACCGGAGAATCCTGGTGCTGACTTCCTCCCATTTCTGTAGTCCCCATTTGGCGAGGGCAAGCAATGCACCCAAAGAGCCAAAAGTGGGGAAAACACACAATAGAAGACCCTAAACTGACCAGTGCCAGGGAGTTCGCCGGCCAGGGGGGCCAGGCGAGTACGCGAGGTCGCGAATAAGACCCCTGGGCTGGGGCAAGCACACGAGAGCCCAGGCAGGCGGGGTATCCTGCCTGGCCGGGGAGCGCGATCAAGGAGCCCGCGTGAGAGTGCACAGCAATCCCAAAAAATAGCCCTGACTGAAGGGGTCACAGAGCTGCACCAGCAGGAGTCCAGGAGACTCCTGGAAGGCTCAAACAAACAACCCAAGGTCATATAGGGTTAACAACTCACATCATCAGAGGCAGGCCCAGAAAAAAAAGTAAAGGGGAAAATAAATATATAAATAAATAAAAAGACCCACCTACAACCATAGAAGTTTAATCCACAAAGTCAGGAAATCTAGACAGCCCAATTGAAGCAGAAGCAAAAATGAATAAAAAAATAAGTAAATTACTTAACAGACTCTCACAAAAATGGTAAGAAAAAGAAGTTCCCCCCAAATGAGTAGAAAAAGGGACTCCCCACAGACAGAGCTAAATGAAGTAGAGGCAAGGGAACTATCAGATATTGAATTCAAAATAATGGTTCTAAGGAAGCTCAATGAGCTCGGCCAGCTCAAAGATAACTAAGGGAAACGGCAAAGAAACTATCAGGATCTTACAGCAAACTATATCAACCTGGAAAAGGACATAGAAACTATCAAGAAACACAAGAGGATATGAAGAATACCATTTCTGAATTGAAGAACACAGTAGAAGGAATCCAAAGCAGGCCGGATGAAGCCGAGGATCGAATCAGTGAGATGGAGGATAAGGTAGACAAGAGCTGCCAGAAAGAACAAGAAATGAAAAAAAGACTCAAAAAGAATGAAGAGGCATTTAGGGAAATGCAGGACAACCTGAAACACAATAATATCCACATAATAGGGATACCAGAAGGAGAAGAAGAGGAGCAAGGGATAGAGAACCTCCTCAAAAAAGTAATCATGGAAAATTTCCCTAATTTGAGGAGAGAAAGGCTCTCATGGATCCAGGAGGCACAGAGGACCCCACACAAGAGAGACTCAAAGAGGTCCACTCAAAGACACATCATCATTAAAATGGCAACTATCAAAGACAAAGAGAGAATCCTCAAGGCAGCAAGGGAGAAGGAGAAAGTAACATACAAGGTAGCCCCGGTACGCCTAGGAGCTGACTTCTCAACAGAAACACTACAAACCAGAAGGGAATGGCAACAAATATTCTAAGCCATAAAAAGCAAGGGCTTACAGCCAAGGCTACTCTACCCAGCAAGGCTCTCGATTAAAATACAAAGGGAAATAAGGAGTTTCCCAGACAAGAGAAGCTAAAAGAATACATCTCTACCAAACCAGCACTCAAAGATA